GGGACCTAACCTCACCGACCGAACCTTTGTCATTGATTACAATATGAACCCATCCCCAAATTCCCTCGTCTGTCAGATCTCAATCCCTTCAGGAATACCGGCAATGGTAAAAAGAAAAAAGAAAAAAAAACACATGCTCGTGATGTTGCAATCTCACTGTTCAGCACCGTACTTTCTAAAATGGTGAGAAACCTGTGTGTGTTTCTCGCGCGATCAATGGCAGGATCTATCCGTGACCTTCTTAATCGTTTACCAGATGGAGCATTTTCTTCTCCGATCTTTTACCAATCACATTCGCTTACAACGCAAGCACCGGTAGACCCCCCAACTCGAACTTTTTTTCCTCCTTTTTCTACTTTCCCATTGATCAACCCCTCGTTACCCCTTCCACAACTCGAGTCACCCTCACCGCGGATAATGGAATTAGGGAGGGGTGGTGACCGAGCCTGCATGGGGAGCATAACATACCGGTACTCGTACACCGGGAAGAAAGCGAGCGAGCGAGGCAGCGAAGCATGCAGCCATCGGCCGGAATAAAGCGTATTAAACGACACCAGTGTTGGCGGTGACCAGTGGCCATCCCTAAAATTTGACGACCGCTGGTCGCCCCATCATGCCATAACCAGTGGTCAGGACCCATCACTGCAGGGATCATTGCAGTGAGGTTAGGGTTTGATAACTTGAGTTGGGGAGAGTCTGGCCACCCTGGTACCAGTATCTGAAGGAAGACTTGGAAGAAAATGGTAGACTGGAAATAAAAATTTGGAGCCTGAGATTGGGAATGACTTTTTATCATGTCAAAGGTGAGATGCAGTTGACCCTTTGTGGGTTTTGCTGAGAAAAAGCCTGACCACCCATCACCCCTCATCACGCCCTTCTTCTGACCACTCGTCGCTGATCGTGCATACGGTAGTCGGTCAATGCATCGGGCCTGGTCAGCGCCAACACCGAATGACACTCCACTCCTTCTCGTCGTTTGATCAAGGGCTGACTACGCCCCAGCCGCAGCGTGGATGGGGGTGGGTTGGTATAATAGGGTGATTATGATGTCTCGCCGGTCGCAGCTGCCGTTCCAATATCACCAACCCCCCTTGGAACCAACGCGTACTGTACTTGTATTGTATAAAGGCAACACAACGCAACGCAACGTTCGGCTACGGTAGTCAACGTTGTGTTCGTATGATACCCTACTATAATAAGGAAGCGAGTGAGTGAGTGGGTGAGTGGGTGAGTGGGCGCGCGTGGTTTAGCATGGTAACGGTCGGAATGTCTGTATGAGAGAGAGAGAGAGAGAGAGAGAGAGGTGA